CCAGACCTCTGACACTTGATGCAGTTAAACTCTGCCCCTTCTCTGCAGCCTCCAGAAAACACCATTCCACTTTGTGTTTCTGAGAGTCAGACTCCTCCAGACAACTCTGTAAGTGGAACTAGGCAGCGTCTGTGTGACGGGGACTGTCTTACTTTGCTCAGCTCACCCCTCGAGTGGTGGGTGGCCGCTCTCACCTCCTTTACAGCTGAGTAGCAGCCCACTGGGTCCATGCGCTGCGTTTCATTTGTTCGTTGATCTGCTGGCAGGTGTGTTGTTTGCTTTCATCTTTTGGCCATGGTGATTAATAACATTATAGCTGAAGATGCAGACATGTCCTTAGGATTCTGCCTTCTTGGGGGACAAATGTCATGTGATCTCCTTCATGTAAACTCTGAAGACAAACTCATAGAAGCAGAGTAGAATGGCGCCTAACAGTGGCTGATGGGAGGAGAGAATGGAGAAAGGGGAGGTGTTAGCTAGAGGCTCCAGGTGTCTGTTAAGCAGAGGAATATATTTTAGTGGTTTGTTACAGAGCATGGCAACTGTAGTTAGCAATAATCTGTAAAAATTGCTCAGCAGTTAGGGGCACACACTGCTCCTAAAGAAGACCTGTGTTCAGTTTCCGGCGTCCAGCTCAAGGGAACCCCGTGCCTTCCTGTGGGGGTGGGAAGCGGGCTCCTCAGTGAAGAGCCCTTGCTGTTCTTGCGTACTTTCAGACAGCAGGCACACACACATGTATACATCAATTAAAAGGTGAATATCCAAAACCCCGTGAATCCAGGCATGGCGTCAAACACTTCTAGTCCCAGCACTTGGGAGACAGAGGCCGGCAGATCTCTGTGCGTTGAAGCCATTCTTATCTACATAGTGAGGTCTAGGGTACTCAAGGCTGCATAGAGACACCCTGTCTGAAAAAGAAATAAAAACAAAAATGTAAGAATTTAAAAGGTCAGGCGGTTAAAGTGATGGATATGTTAATTAGCTTTGTATATACAAAACAAGCATTCTGCCAATTGAGCTACAGCCCAGGCCTTTTAAGGTTTTTGATGCTTGTCTGATCTAGAGATTTTGTTCCCTTATTTACTTGTTCAGTCTTCCTTGGCTTCTTTTGTTATATTTTATTTTGTTTTTTCAAGACGGGGCTTTCTCTGTGTAGCCCTCGCTGTTCTGGAACTCTTTGTAGACAAGGCTGACCTCGAACTCAGAGATCCATCTGCCTCTGGTTGTGTCTGCTCAAGTGCTGGAATGAAAGGCGTGTGTCAGGAGCTCCTGGCCTTTCTTGGCTTTGTATGTGCAGCATAACACCAGGGAGAGAGGCTTTGCGGCAGCCCCGGCCCCCAGCAGGCCTTTCTGGGGCTGTCTTTGGACTGAAAGGTGGCCAAATATTTTCAGAATGGTTTTAGTGGTTGGTTCTCAAAGGTGCAACCTTTTCTCATAATCATGGCATCTAACCAAAGAGACAGTGAGTGCATATAAAGGTCCTGACTGCCAGAAATGTGTACACATCAGGCAAGACCTTCTGGGTTTTTTAGCATCCTGGACTCTCCTTCCTTCAGACTGGTTCTGGGCTCTCGAACCCATCACCTGCTAGACTTCCTGATCTAAATGGCCAGATTCGCAGAGTAGTTCAATGGAGATGGGTATGTGAGAGCCTAAGCCACTTGCTTGGAGTTCAAAATCCTCCGGTAGAATAACAATTAGTGTACATTAGGTGCCAATATGAGAATATAATCATACCGTCCAACTATGTGGCCCTTCAGCGATGTCTTAACTTTCTACTGATGTTGCATTCCAATGCCTTCTACTGCAGGAAGGCAGACCGCCACAGTTGATATTTCTGTCTTTAGGGACCCACCATCCATGGGTACTCTTCATGGTACTCTTCATGGTACTCTTCATGGTACTCTGTTGTGTTATGGGCGTTTGTCTGCATGGATGTTTACGCAGCACGTGTACCTGGGGCCTACAGAGACCAAAGGAAGAATCCCCTAAACTGCAGCAAGAACTGGCTGTGAGCCACCTGTGGGTGCTGGGAGACAACCGGATCTTCTGGAAGAGCAGTCAGTGCTCTTCCCCACTTAGTGGTCTCCCCAGCCTCCATGGGGTACTCCTCCCTAGATGGTTTTAAGTACCATTCAGGTGGACTGAACTCCAGGGCTTTATCATGCTTTACAAGTGTTGCACCATTGAGCTACACCCCCAGCCCCCACTCACACCTTTACTTTTGCTCTTGTAACATCCTCTTTTTAAAACACTGGTAGAGTTTGATTTGGAGGAAACTCAAATATCTAGATTGTTAGCACCAGCAGTTTCATCTGAAGGGAAATCAGTAAGCCTCACAGTATTCGTGGGTGTCAATTTGGAGGCTACACTTATGGATCCAGCCTTGTCTTTGATCGAGCCTCTAGTTGTCCCTCCATTTCCGGATCGCCCATGAGCTAGCTCATCACCGTGTGAAGCACTGAGCCTGTGTAAAGTTGCAGGATTCGAGTGCTCCTATGGAACCAGGTAGAGACCCTCGCCCACAGAGAGTGCTCTTCTTCGTGATGAATTCTGTACACTCCAGTAGTCCAGAACCGCAGGCTCAACGCCCCAATGGAAGTCACTAAATCAAGGTTCTTACTGAGATAGGAGTATCAGACAGGACAGCTAGAGTGGACCACCTTTGTCCCTCCCCCCACCATGGGCAGAAAAGGGCAACATGAGGTTTAGATGAAGAACTGGAAGGTACTGTCCACACAACCTTTTTACTGTATTAAGGGTTTTGCCTTAGCTTATGTTCTTTCTTCTCACATAGGGTTACCTGGATGCTGGTCCAGGAGGCATAGCATCTTATAGACCCTACCGGTAACACAGATCTGCTTCAAGCTAGAGCATTGTGAAGCTCCCTTAAGACTGTGGGGGCCCTGGGCTCTTCTCCAGAGACTTCCAGGCCTTGCAGACAAAGCGCAGAACAATAGCATGGACTTCCTGACATTTGATGTTGGATATTTCCCTGACCACATGAGGCCTTGTTTTTCAATGTTAGGGCAAAACCATTAATTTCATAATATTTATGCAAGACTTAAATCCACAGTGATGTCTCCTTCCAACTCCTTCCATTCCAAGCACAGCCCCATCTTTGAAGTTCTGGCTCCTGGGGACCTGATAGCCCCTTGTTCTCTCCTGTCTTCTTGGGTTATCTGGATCTCTACTTCTGTCTTTTAATGGCTTTAAAGGGCTTTCTTTGGATCACACAAGGAAAATTTCTGCTCCCTTTTCTGCCTTCAGTCTGAGCATTTCTGCTTTTTTCTCACATCTTTACCTTCACCCTAATATTTTATTACATATCTTATTTGTTTGTTTTTTATTGTGTTTTTATTGTGAGCATGTGTGTGGAGTTCAGAGACAACTTGTGAGCTCTTTCACTGTGTGGGCTGCAGGGAGAGAACTCATGTTCACCAGGCTGGGCAGCAAGTGCTTTTACCCCCTGAGCCATCTCACCATCTTAATACACTTACTAAAACAATATGTTTGCCACTGTTTTTAAAAAGATACCTCCCATGTTCTTTTTTTTAAAAGGAATTATTTATTATGTATGCCGTGTTCTGCCTGCATGTACACCTGCAGGCCAGAAGAGGTCACCAGATCTCATTATAGATGGTTGTGAGCCACCATGTGGTTTCTGGGAATTGAACTCAAGACCTTTGGAAGGGCCAACAATGCTCTTAACCTCTGAGCCATCTCTCCAGCCCCTATGTGTCACTTTTTTAGGAGGTTGATAACCCAGTGATCTGTTCCATGGGCTCAGTGCTCCCGTTAACACCCACAGAAGCAAAACACACCTGTGGGCTCGAACTCTTACTGCAAGTGTGTGAGGCGGTAAGGAGGTTTAGGAGTTGGGTTTTCCCAGGCTCTAGGATCTCAAAGCTGAAAGCTGAAGCCTGATTCCCAGCCAACCCTTCTTTCCCAGTGTGCACTGTGCCACGCACTGGCAGGTCCCATGCCTAACTCAGAGGCTAGCTTTAGTACAGAAAGAAGCCAGACTTTAGCAGTTGGTCCTGTGACTCCCACCCTCAATCCCAGCTTCCAGATAGTGCTGATACATCTGGTTTGACTGACGCACAGCTAATCCCTGGTTCAAACCCAAGCCCCTAACTTTGCTCATGAGTCAGAGGCTCAGCTCACAACCAGTCCCTTTCGCTGTCACTACCACAGGAAATGTGAGTGCAGGGAGAGATCGCTTTCTTTCAGGCCATCTAGGTCTACAGACAGAATGTGTTCTTCCAAAGAAGAACCACAAGTGAGGAGCGTGTGGGAGGTCACAGGGGTCAGAGAGGGCCGCAAAGCTAGGCAAGGGGGTGGGAAGGGGGAGGTCTGGGAATTAGGAAAGGCACTCGGGGGCTCAGGAGGCACGGGTGGGAAAAATACTAATGTCGGAAGCTCAGAGAACCAAACTTCCTCTGTAAGGTCTTTGGTTAGGTTTGGTGCTGGGGATAAGGATTTCCATTCCAGTGCTGAGTGTCTAAGGCTAAGACGTAGAATAGGATAGCTGTTTTCCGGGCTGGTCTTTGTTTGTTTGACCGAGCACTTCTTAATTTGAGTAAGAAAGGGTGTTGATTTGGCCATGGCTGAGCAGGAAGGTCATGGTCAAGCATCCCTCCCTCCAGTGTGCTGAAAGAGTCTCCAGTAGCATTGTCCAACTCTTAACAACAAAAATGGTCAAAAGATAATATATGTATAGGGCTCTGCCCCTGACCACCAAGCTTTCAAGACTGCCTCACTTCCTGCAAGAGCAGCAGTAAGTGTCCGTTAGCCTCTGAGGGACCCAGCTTTCATGATGAAAATCAGATGAGTTTCTTCCCTGTGGATCTGTCTGTAGGTCACCCTGCCCCTCAGAGAGACCCAGCTTTAGCGCCCCGGTCTCACTCCCTGGTGAGCCACCTTCCTAAGCTCCTCAGGCGACTCTGGGAGTCAAGGAACAGTTGGGGTCCCCAGGTCATTCCCGGCTTTGTTCCCAGAGGACCGGAAGCTGTTTGTGGGGATGCTGGGCAAGCAGCAGGGGGAGGAGGATGTCAGACGTCTGTTCCAGCCTTTCGGCCACATCGAGGAGTGCACGGTCCTGCGGAGCCCCGACGGCACCAGCAAAGGTGACCTGCGCTGCCCCTGGAGCTTCCGGGGACCCTACCCTCTGGCTCCTGCGGCCCAAGTCATTGCACCCTTCTCTCCTGCACCAGGCTGTGCCTTTGTGAAATTCGGGAGTCAAGGGGAAGCTCAAGCCGCCATACAGGGACTGCACGGTAGCCGGACAATGACGGTGAGAGTGGGGCCTGGGCCGAGGGTGGACCACAGGCTTCCAGTATCCCCCGTCAAGGGCCCGCTGGAGAAGGTGCTGGGCCCTGAGCTCTGTCAGGGTCGCTTCCGGTCACACGCCCGTCCTCTGCCCAGGGCGCCTCCTCCAGCTTGGTGGTGAAGCTGGCGGACACCGACCGGGAGCGCGCGCTGCGGCGGATGCAGCAGATGGCTGGCCAGCTGGGCACCTTCCCCCCGGTACCGCTGCCCCTCGGGGCCTGTGGCGCCTACACCACCGCGGTAGGTGCCTGGCCGGGGCTGGCGGCGGATAGGACCCCTTGGCAGTTGCCAGCCGCTGAGGCCTATACAGACGCCCTTCTTCCTTCCCCAAGATCCTGCAGCACCAGGCGGCCCTGCTGGCAGCCGCGCAGGGCCCCGGGCTGGGCCAGGTGGCCGCCGTGGCCGCCCAGATGCAGCACGTGGCTGCCTTCAGCTTGGTGGCCGCCCCGCTATTGCCTGCGGGGGCAGGTAAGAAGACCCAGCAGGCTACAGCCCTGGTCGGGGCGGCCCACGAGGGGCCGCCTCCTGACCCTCTCACCTCCCCCTACAGCCAACGCGTCGCCTGGCGGAGGCGGCCCTGGGGCCCTCCCTGGCCTCCCGGCACCCGTGGGGGTCAATGGATTCGGCTCCTTGAACCCCCAGACCAATGGACAGCCAGGTTCTGACACGCTCTATAACAACGGGCTTTCCCCTTACCCAGGTGGGTCGCCGTACCCTGCTGCCCCAGTCTGCCTGGAAACCGAGTTCGGAGCGCGAGGCAGAGCTTTTCCGGCTGAGGGCCTGTTTGGGGGGAAGGGATTTCCCCAGCTCCTTTTCATAGCGTCCTCCGCCTTGCACACTCCCAGGGTCTCTTCCCTGGCCCCTGTCCACCTGCCCTCATCGTGGGCCTTGGGCCCCCTTTCTCTCCAGCCCAGAGCCCCGGCGTGGCTGACCCCCTGCAGCAGGCCTACGCTGGGATACACCACTACGCAGGTTTCACGTGGCACTGCCCGGCCCGGGGGTGGGGTGGGGTGTGCGGTGTTAAAGGGCCTCGGAAAAGAACAGGGAGACTTGTGGGAGGGTTAGCTCTGTTCCAAGGAGTCAACCCTTCCCACCCTGTTCGTCCCCAGCCCCAGCGACCTGTCTCGGGACAATGGTTATGTTGAACTGGGTTGAATCTCTCAGAGCCGGCCAGGCAGATGGGGATCTGTTTGGGAAATGGCTCCTGGGGGTCACTGCCTACCCCCACCCTGTCTCCAGCAGCCTATCCCTCGGCCTATGCCCCAGTGAGCACAGCTTTTCCCCAGCAGCCTTCAGCTCTGCCTCAGCAACAGCGAGAAGGTGAGGGACTGGGGTTTAGAGATGAGGGGTGTGGGGCGGGTACCCTCAGGGTCCCTCCCCTGAACAAGCCTGCTACTGTCCCTGCAGGCCCCGAAGGCTGTAACCTCTTCATCTATCACCTGCCTCAGGAGTTTGGGGACGCAGAACTCATACAGACATTCCTGCCCTTTGGAGCTGTTGTCTCTGCCAAAGTCTTTGTGGATCGTGCCACCAACCAGAGCAAGTGTTTTGGTGAGCTGGTCCATCCCTGTCCCTCAGGATTCCCTCGGGACCGCACATAAGGCTTCCTGAGACTGTTACGGGACAAAGCATGGGCAAAGCAATCCTTATCTCAGGTCACTGAGAATCTTGGGTAACTAGAATGTGTGAGCTCAGAAAGGCTTCAGCATTTGGATTTGTCCAGAGCACCAAGAGGATGGGTTTGGAATAAAAGATGCTTTCAGCCCCCAGTTCTGAGTTCTGCAGTTCTGAGGCCAGACTGGGAGGAGTGGAGCAAAGCAGCAGACCTGAGCCAGGGACATACTCTGACCACACGGTCCCTTCTCCCTACCACACTTACGTCCCGTCTTTCTGGAAATCACACCTGTAAGAATGACGCACCTCTATTAAGCATGTGTCTATGCTTATGTACACACATGTTCATATTTAAACAATGAAAAGGTACACACGTGATGGGCCTCATCTAGAGATTAGAGAGAGAGAGAGATCCTGGCACGCTGGATTCCCAGTTAACCTGTCTGCCCACACCCTCCAGGGTTTGTTAGTTTTGACAATCCAACCAGTGCCCAGACTGCCATCCAGGCCATGAATGGCTTTCAAATCGGCATGAAGAGGCTCAAGGTCCAGCTGAAACGACCTAAGGATGCCAACAGGCCTTACTGATCTGCGCTCCCTGACCAATCACAGACAGGTGAGTCTTGATTGGTGTCAGGCAAATGGGTCCTATTTCACAAGACTCTGCAAGGGATAAAGAGAAGAGCCAGGGACTAGGGGGAAAGAGGCTGGGGTTTTTCTTTCAGCCCAGACTCTACGATGAGTTAGACAACCTTGATGTCTCCACAGTCTTGGAGAGATGATTTCTGGGAAAATCGAGCCCATTCTGCCCTAGTACAGGTGCAGGAGGGAGGCCACAGGGGCGTCTACGGGAGAGCACTGGGGTAAATGGGGCTTTTCAGGTCACGAGGCTCTCATGGGCCAGGAGTCCTGGCTGCCAAAAGGTGATAAAGCCACTGGACAGCTTTAATGAAGAGGACAGCAGCTAGTGTGGAGGTGAAAGGAAGAAGCCCCTTGGCTCTGCAGGTCAGGAGCTAGACCTGCAGGGCTCAGTGGGCGAAGAGCAGTGAGGTGACATGGCCCTGGTTCCTGGAAGGGCCTCAGCCTGGAGAGATGGGCTGTCCTTGCAGATCTACTTGGCCTCAGTTCACGCAAGCTGCTCCAGAAACTCTCTGGGGAGCATTGGCTACAATGCTAAGCCTAGGATCTAGGCAAGGGCTGGCTTCTGTGGCCAGGATGCTGCTTGAAAGAGACTTAGCCACAGATGAGCCTGACACTTAGCCACAGATGAGACAGGCTGCTCTTGTCTTACCCTCTAAGGTGACTTTTGTCTCCTCCCTCCCTGTCTCCTTATCAATTAATACCCGACAACAGAAACTGAAGAGTGAGAAGAAAGAAAAGAGAGAAGCACAGAAATGCTGGAGTGGCCGTTCCAGAAGGAGTGGCAGCAGGCGGAGGTGGATCGGACCCAGGGCTGGCGCTTGGGGCTCAGGCCACTCATCATGTGGGTTGTTCTACGGAGCACTCAGGCTGGCAGGGTGACCAGTGCTGCCTGAGGGTCGACTGACCTAAGGGAACCAGCAGAGGGCCTTGGGGGTGCCAAGGGCTTCTCAGCAAGGGAAGCCCAGACTTACTTCATTCAAAATCATATCATTCCGTAGTATTTAGGGACCAAAGGACTATTGCTTTTTTAAGAATATATATATATATCTATAAATTAAAACAAAGAAAAAAAAACAGAAGAGAGACAAAAAAGACAGTATAGAGTCTCATAAAAGCTGCCTTTAAGTATCACTAGGAGACAGGGTGAAGGAGACCCTTGCTAGCCCCAGCCTAGGCCAAGGAGGCTGTGGAGAGATTGTCCTGTGTCTCATTCCTTCTTAAGCTACTCCCTTATCCTGCCCTTTGAAAAAGCGATAAAGGATATGAAGTCTAGGCTCATCTTCAAGCCACAAGAGGGTAATGGAAATGTGAGCCCACAATCCCCAAACTCAGACAGTATCCCTGAGAGGCCTCAGGAGGCACTGGGGCCTGTTCTGGCCTCTGCTCTCCTGGGCAGGCCCCAGCTTCAAAACTGGGAACCTGCCTTTGCTTCTTGACACCGTTTCCTGTGGAGCCTCAGCCTCCCCAGGCAGGAAGAAAGAGGGAGCCTTTTCCTTCCCAGTCCAGGTAGACTGCGACCTCACCCTGGGCTGAGCTGAGGAACCTCCTGTTTCCCCTCCCCTTGCGACTGCCCCAGTGTCCCTTGCTCCAGGCCACCTTCTGTCTCTTAGTCTAAGTTTGCTCACCTGTAAAGTAGACTCAAGGTAAACGTAGAGGGCTGTGGCGACAGACGTGGAAGGCTTGCTGCTGTAAATACTGCCATTGAGAAGGGGATAATTTTCACTGCGTAGAAGCTTCAGAATTAGTGGTCCCTCTCTACCCAGGACCTGGGAGGGAAGTAGATGTTTTGCCAAAATACTAATTCATTCCTTTAAAAAGTACATCTTTCCTATGCAAGTGTGTCTCAGTGTGCTTACCCACGGTGCTTTTAGGTGGCGAGCAGTGTTCAGCTTAGACGTGGTGTGTGCTCTGTCTGTCTGTCCTTGTCTGTCTGTTGTGTACAGTGGTACCATATAAAGCTGATCAACGTGGTGCTTCCTTGCCTGCTTCTGGGAGATGGGCAAACGACTCAGCACAGAGCATCTGCTTCACCTTGCTTCTCTCAGCCTCTCCTGGACTGCGGGACCTTGAGCACATTTTTTTCTGGGGGAACAACTTACATTCCCATTTTTTTTTTATTAATTACACTTTATTCACTTTGTATCCCCCCATAAACCCCACCCTCCTCCCCTCCCAATCCCACCCTCCCTCCCCCTTCTTCACACATGCCCCTCCCAAAGTCCACTGATAGGGGAGGTCCCCCTCTCCTTCCTTCTGATCTTAGTCTATCAAATCTCATCAGGAGTGGCTGCATTGTCTTCTTCTGTGGCCTGGTAAGGCTGCTCCCTGCTCAGGGGAAGGTGATCAAAGAGCAGGCCAATTAGTTCATGTCAGAGACAGTCCCTGTTCCTATTACTATGTAACCCACTTGGACACTGAGCTGCCATGGGCTACATCTGTGCAGGGGTTCTAGGTTATCTCCATGCATGGTCCTACATTCCCATTCTTAAGTCATGGATTTACCTGAGTTGAGGTCCCACAGAGTTGGTGGGGGTACTGTGGTTCATTGCTGGAGGCCTGTCATCTGCTATCACCAGGACAATGAAGGATATGGGTGGGAAAGAAGACAATTCCTTCCAGGCCCTTTCTTTGAAAATGTGTTTCCACCTGTTCCTCTGCCTTTGACCGGTTTTTGGAAGTAATGAGAATGAACACTAGATTCCTCAGTAACATTCCCGGATAAGGTGTGGTTTATATCCACAAACAATCGCCAGCTGGGAAAGAAACTGATGCTGAGACACACGAGGGCCAGCACAGTGCCAACCACAGATGGAGTGCCTCGGGTACACGTGGAGAGACACACAAGGACTGTGGTCAGTTCCTCAGAACCCACGTTAAAACAAACGAAAACAAACAAACCAGGCATACACTTGTAATCTCAGCACTGGGACAACAGAGACTAGTGGATCTCTGAGTCTCACTAGCCAGCCATTTCAGCCCGATGGAGTTTGAGGACAGTGAGAAACCCTATCTCAAAAAAGCCAGGTGATGGCACCTGATGAATGACAGCTGAAGTTGTACTCTGGCCTCTGCATGTATGTGCACACACACACTGGCACAAACAGAAACAAACCTCAGATAGTCACCAAAAAGCATACAATTCTCTCAGTGCTAGGTGGTAGGCGTTGTTCTAGGGCTCAGGCAGGTACCAGGTACCAGGAGCTAAGGGAAAGTACAGATTATGAAAGCACATGCAGCATATGTCTGTACCAGCAGGGAACAACTAACTGAAGCTCTAATGTTGGGAGAGGTCCGTGAAAGTCCTCCTTAGGACTAAGGTGAACAGCCGTCAAGAATGAACTGACATAGCTGAAGTCTTTGAGCAGCTGCATCATTTTGAAAAGGCATTTATGACTAAGAAATAATAATCACATATTTCAGATTCTATTATGTCATAGATGAGTCAAGACCCTTTTACTATTCCTAAATCTACCCTGAACCTTAACTCAGTACTGACTCATGTCAAGGCATTTGAAACAATGTGGAACTTATTTTACTTCATACTGTAGGGTCTGGCCGACTAGATCCCCAGTCTAGTTGATCAAGGGTTGGCAAATTATGGTCAGTCAGCCATACCTGGCCTGTGACATACCTGGCCTGTGACATATTTTTGTGTGATCTACATATTAACAATTATTTTTAAGCGTAATTTTTAAAAATTTCCCAAGGATTTTGATGTTTTCTTTTAAACTGAAGTGTGTGTACATGTCTCTTTCTGTGGGGAATCGCATATGGGTGCAGATTCCCACAGAGGCCAGAAGAGGGCACTGAACTTCCTGGGACTGGAGTTACAGGTGTTTGTCAGCTGCCTGGTGAGGCCCTCTGCAAGAGCAGAGCACGTTCTTAACCACTGAGCCATATCTCCAGTTCCAGTTTTTACGTTTCAAAGGGTTGTCAAAACAAAATGATGAGCCAGAGCCCTATGTGGCTCACCAAGCTTAAAACATTTATCTGGTCCCTTAGATAATAAGTTTACCGAGCCTTGGTAAGGTTATGGAAAATCTGTAGAATGTCTGGGTTTGAGCAACATGGTGGTGTGTTTTTGTTTGTGTGCGCTTGTAATAGTCTGGCCCTTTTCACTTGCAAGTATGAACAACAAAAACATCTTCAAGTCTTTAGGAAATCAAATAGTTTACAAAACAATAGGTCAAAGGATATACCTGCCTCCAGGTACCATTGGTTCTGAGGGTTTAAATGATGTCTCCACCTCTCCATTTCCTTTTATATGTTGATCTCACTGCTTCTAGCTCTAAAACCCTAGGGAAGACTTTTCTCAGCTTTAAGGATGTGCATACCTCTAAGATGAAAAACTGGACCACTTTTTCCAAGTCTCTGAGGAAGGGGGAGAAAGAGTTCCCCAAATGAAAAGGTAATCAGCAGATAAGCAATTTTTACCCAGCACATTTTACCTTTTGTTGTATCCACCTAAACTTTTATTGACAAACATACAATTCCCAAACTGTGTCTGCCTAACAGTGTAATAATCCTAGGCCCAATTAAAACACACACAGATCTGCTTTCTGGCTTGAGACAAAGCAATTACAGATGCAATTGCTTTACCCAGTCCTCGTCTTTCAGTGATGTGTGATTCTTGATGAGGTCTAGATGTGCTCTTAAGATTTTGCAATATGTGGTCAAAAGGCTGATTTATCCACTCCTACATAACCAAAATAAAATAGTGGATGGAGAGTAGAAGACAATTTTTAAAATCTCTCATTTGGAATAAGACAAAAGAGAAACCTGTGGACTCAGACCTACAGCACTTTCTTCTGAATAGCAGAGTAATAGCCCTCCATCCTTTCTGTTGGGAAATGTCTGCTTTATTGCCCTTTTGTAGACATCCCTGAGAAGGTGGATTTTCGGGAATCAAAGCATCCATCATGCAGTTTTTCATGGATTTGGATCTAAGGATTGCCTTGGCAATTCAGCACCTCCGGTCTATTCCCCCGTGTGAAGATTAACAGTTTTCTGAGCCCCCTGTGGGCTAGGAGCTGCCATGGTTTCTGCAACCTTGCTGAGGCTCATTTTTGAGTCTTCATCTGGCTCAGAAATTATACCTCTTAGCAACAGGCTTATTTCTATTGCTGTGACAAAATACCTTGACAAAAAGCAATTTAGGAGAGAGAGGGACAGTTCCAGGATATAGTCCATCATTGTGGGAAAGCCACACAGGAATGTCAGCCATCTAGTCACATTACATCACAGCGAGAACAAAGGAAAATGAGTGTGAACCTTGCTCAGTGGCTGGTTTGCTTGTATTCAGCTCCTTTCTCTACTTTTACAAGTTCAGGACCCTCTGCCTAAGTTCAGGACCAGCACAAAGACCCATGGTGAGCTGCATCCTAGATCAATCAAGACAATCCCTCACAGACATGCTCACAGCCCTATTGAACAATATACCAATTCCTCATTAAGACTGTTCTCCCATGTGATTCTAGGTTGTGTCAAGTTGACAATGATAGCCATCATGACAAAGGTTACAATATGAACATTCCTCTATCTGCAGGTTCCTGGCTTTTAAGACAGTCCACCTGTCATGCTGAGGAGATAGCTCCCATTCCATTCTTGGATGGCCATATTCCAGCAACCTTGACCTTCATAAGGTAGTCAAACTCCTGAGTGGGGATGACATCTAGGTTTCAACCTCAAGAAGATACTTAGGACTGAGGCAACCACACAGGTGCTCATCTAGCCCCCAGTCTGCAGCTTCCTGTATGCCTTCCTTTCCAGCCAGAGCCAGGTTTCACATGGAGGCTACATGGACAAAGGGCTACTGACCAGAGTCTGTCAGCTAATGTAGAATCTGGAACACTTTAAAACCTAAATAGTTTGGAGACTGTGGGTAGAGTCTTCAGCCCTCGATCTTTCCCTAGATGCAACCGAGGTATCCTGAATGCGGAGAAAAAAGACATTTGGTCTGAGATGAGCATGGTGACCTCTGACTTCAGAAGCAGCTTTGGCTATGTTGCTATGTGCTCTGATCATATCTGGAGGCTCACTCCTGCCTCAATGGAGCAGAATACACAAGATATCTTCAAAAGAAGACACTCATGCACTGGTTCTCAACCTGTGAGTCACAACCCTCTGGGGTTTGCCTATCAGCTAGCCTATATATTAAATATTTGCATTGCAATTCATAACAATAGCAAAATCACAGTTATGAAGCAGCAGCAGAAATAATTTTATGGTTAGGGGTCACCACAACCTGAGGAACTGTATTAAAGTGTCGCAGCATCAGGAAGGTTGAGAACCACTGCACTGTCTCAGAAGCTCCAGAAGCTCCGTGCTCCTTCCTAGGTCCAGTCGTAGACTGCTGACACACCCATCATGACACAGGCAGCTAAGTAGGTATTCAATAGTCTGCTGTGGTCTCGGGGCCTCCCCATGACCAGTGTACTTGACTATTACACAGTCTGGTGTTCTTTGGACTTAATGAACTCAGAGCCAGAGCAGGCCAGGTAGCTGAACTCAGAGCCAGGGCAGGCCAGGTAGCTGAACTCAGAGACAGAGCAGGCCAGGTAGCTGGCTTCAGCCTCCAGCTTGGATCTGGACCTGTACTCCCATGTGGCTTTCAACAAAATCTTGGTTCTTCAATTTTACCTAAGAAGAGTTGGGAACCAGATGCTGGGGTGAAAGCCTGTCAGCTCAGAGAGACAGAGAATGCACCGAGGTGACCTTCCTCCTCAGATCATACCCAAAAAGAAGGAAGAGCTCTCAAACTGAATGTCCTCCCTTCTACTTCCTGCCTCTCTATCCAGCCTCCCGACTTCCTCTTACTGTGTGATTTTCCCCTATGTTCACTACCTGTCAATTGGTTTCTTGCTCTGCCTCTTGACCTATGGTTGACTTTATTTAATCCCGTTTACAATATTCAAGCAGAAAGCTCTTGAATTTAAAGGTGTGTGCTAGGGCTGAGCCACACCACAACTAGAAACAGGTTTTTCCAGTAACCAACACAATCTCAGGGTTCACAGTGTGAGCAAATCTCTTGCAACACTTCTAGCTTTCTCTTCTGTCTATATTTGGTCTCATCTCTACAGACCTTACTTACCCAGCTAATCATGATAGGCTGAAAACTGAGTCTGGTGTTTCCCAAGAGATGCGTTTGGTGCCTAGCAGAAAATTTAGGAACCCAGGAAGAAAGCCTGATGAAAGAGCTCATCTTCCAGGTAAGTGGTCCACAAATGGTCTGACATAGCCACTTTGGCTCTGGGCTCCGAAAGAAAGCTAGCCATCCAGGCTAGATTAATTGCAGTTAAATAGGAAAAATCAGTTCTCCATCGTTAGGACCCTGTGTTGAGATGGGGACTTTGATTACATGTCTACATCTTACGTCTTCTGGAAAGCAGACTATGGGGCAAATATGAAAATGACTTGAGACCCAGGATGGTGGGGGGGGGGGTTGAAAAAGACAGGAGGCAATTGAAATGGTGTAGCACTGTGCTGACAGCTGCTTTTCATATGCTGTGAAGAAAGGGCAAGTCACAGGGTAGATCCAGGTTTGTTTCTAAGCATGTCAGATTTTCAAGAAAACACTGCATCATAGAGCAGTTCACCGAGGGGATTTCAAAAATGGTTTATTCATCTCCACCCCTTCCTCATTTCTTATTTTCCACTAGCACCCCGCAATTCAACTCCCAGGTTCTTCTCAGGTACATCATTTGCTCACTGGGTGTTGAGAAGGCCAATGTGCCTTTCTACCAAAGATGTAGAAGCAGAGGAGCTACTTGGCATAGGAAGGGTAGACTCCACAGAGAAAGGAGGAGGTCACTTGTGGCATCCAAAAAGGTGCATGAAGTTTGTGCCTAATGCACTGCACAGGATGGACAGGCAAGCAGCAGAACCCTAATTCCAAGCCAAATAAATCTTAACTTGGAAGAGGAAAGAAGTACTTAAAGTGTGGTTTTGATGATCAGGATTCTATCCTTCTTTCCTGGATATGCCTAAGCTCTAAACTTCGGTATTTCCTGGATTTCCCACTTTGGTCCTTTTGTTCTCATTCACTTTAGATTGGGGGAAAGAGGGCTGGGGAAATGGCCCAGTGGTTACCATGCTTGCTGCACAGGTTGGGGGCCATAGCTCAGATCCTCAGAACGCACACTAAGAACCAGGGAGTATACTGCTATAACTCCAGACCAGAGGGAAGGAGAGGGGCTCAGAGCCAGCTGCCTGGGGGGACTGGCTGCACCCACCAGCTTTGAGCTTGAGATATGCTACTTCTATGAATGAGGTGGGAGATGAAGAAAATGAGGATACGCCCAAGGTATGTTGAGGAGAAGGTTTTTATGTTAGATATGGGGGAAAGTACAGCCAGAGGCATTGGGAAGAGCCTAGCAGGGAGAGAAAATAGTAGACTAAACATGATCAGGTTAGTCT